TGCATCCAGACAGCCCCTATATTGTGGTAACTCCCGCAATAAAGAAGGGGTTTTCCAGATGACTTCGGGAACAATCCAGAATTAATTCACCACAAACCAGGAAAACCCTAGTTTGTAGCGATTTAATTAGGTGGTGGATTTATTCTGCGCCTTCTTGGAAAGCGCAGGATAAACCCACTATTTCCTGTGTCTGTGCAGTCAAGACACCATTCCCACAGACTAAATTGGTCCTGAAAGCTGTGTGGGGGAAAAAGCTGCCTGGAGGAATCACGCAGTTCACAAAAGCAACGTTGAGGGCACCTGTAGCCCATTTATAATAACAACAACTTTATCATTAATAACTTTTGTGTTGTTTTGATAAATTAATTAGGATGTTTTATGTTTAAGTTCTATGTTAGTTATAATTTTCAAAGGTTGATATTTTATTTAAATTATAGTTGTTATATTTATGTTGCTCTTTACGTGGGGTTATCTTGGGTTTTTATATGTGTATTTACTATTATTGAGGCATTGAATGTCTGCCTTTTTGTTTGTTGGAATCTACCTGAGTTTCCCAGGGGAGATAGGGTGGAATATAAATAAAGTTGTTATTTATTTATTTATTTATTTATGGCCTGCCCTATCTCCCTGAGGGCAACTTCATTGTTTTCTATGCTCAAGGTGCATTACACACAATGATATGTGAGCTTATACAAAATGACAAACTCAAGATCTGCTCCATTATTTTTTTAATATTTCCAAGCCATGGATGGTTGAATTTGTGGATGCAGAATCCAAGGCTATGGTGGGCCAACTGTACTATAGAACTCCTTTCCTTCTCCTCTGAGCTTTTTAACCAAGGTTAAGTTACCACCACTCTTATCATTTCACAAATCCTCAACTTTATTACATTACATTAATTAATGAATACATGTACAGTTTGTAATGTAGTCTTTCTTAAATTAGCAAATAAAATGTGTTGGCTGTGTACTAACATTTTCAAAATAGTAACAGAAATTGACAATGCTTTTAGGAAGTGCTGCATCTCTGTGAGGCTTTTATCTAACTAAGAACATTCTGGTAAAACCATCCCAGTTTAAATACTGATCCCTTTCAACAAATGCATCTCAATAAGTAGTGGGAAACCTCAACATACCTTATCATCAGAGCTTGACCATTTCATTAAAAAAAAAGTCACCAATGCTTCTATTTTAATCCACAATGGAGGGAAATGACTAAATCTCTTTTCCCCAAGCTCAGCAGAAGAATGAGTTCAGAAGCACCACAGAGGAATGTGGCTGTCAAAATGCCTCTACAAAAAGTATGTCACCAATGCTGAAGACAGTGGAGTTGCCATTGAGCATTCCATTAAAAGGAACTGCTCCAGTTCGTGCTGCTTATTTCTGTTGGGTGGTCACAACCAAGCCACAACTAAAGCACCAAGCCACACATGTTCTACATTCAATACCCTTCAGTAAGGCATAGAGCAGGCAACTTGTGGACCTCCTGGTTTGCTGAGTTTAAACTTCTGTCAGTGTACACTGACTAGAGCTGATCAGAATTGAGATGTAGCATATCTGAAGCACCTGTACTTGGTATAGATTATATGTGCTATAGGCATAACGCAGCATGATATACATGCACTGCTGCAATAAGAAAGGGAAATGGTTATGAGAAAACAAATAGGGAATATAGCAGTATTTGAGTGCCTATGCACGGTTCTCGTATTAAATCAATGCCTGAACCCCAGGCCATTGCTTTAGTTTTAGTTGGACACACGTCACTGGCTTAAACAGCTAATATGGTATTTGATAACAAATTAGCAGCTCTTCCTTCCACATGACCTCTATTAAGTAGTCAACAAGTTTTGAAGTCAGCCCTTCAACTAAAAACAAATGGAAATATGCACATAGGTGTAAGCAAAATGTATTTCACTTAATATCAGAGAAAGCAGGAAGCTTAAGCCACAATTTTGGATATTTTTACTTTGTTGTCTACAGTGGCCTCAAATTAAAACACTACACAGTGCTTGCTCCTTTCTATCCCCCTTTTTTCAAAAAAGTATGCCGCCATCAAAACTTTGCTTTCTGTTATTTTTTTTTAATAATTAGATGATTGGGGGGAAAGAGAAAGGCAATTAGCAAAAGTGATAAAAGCTCATTACATCCTGTAAAGACATGTTTCATTTATCATTCCATGCATCTGGTCCACCAATTTAATTCCACATTGCTTAGTAGCTGATTATTTACAAATTATATATAGTTTTAACAGCTGGAACCTAGTGCTAAGATCTACAATGTGCAGCCATAAATTAGAAGATACCTTGAAGTTTCTATTTCTAATTTTCCAACAACATTAAATGTCTGTATTCATCCTCCTGCTCTGATTTCCACAACATGGGGTTTGATTTTTATGATGCACCACTGCAACTATGCCTTTGCAGCCCCTTCTAGGATGTACATGTTGCCACCACACAGAAAACAGATGTGGGTGGAGATGAGAAAGGTTAATCCCCAAGTTTCATCCAACCAGATCCTCATACACCTATCCTATCACTTATTATTTAGCAGCAAAAATCCTTGAACCCAGAAAACCACTTTCCAAGGTTATTTGAGCGATTTGAAATGGAGAACAATTGTAGGGCAGAGAGCCTCCTTTTAAAAGCAATAGTCCCCTCTTCTAAAGTGATATGGCTGCTACCTCACTCCACATTTCTCTTTGCCTTCTACAGTTCCAATGGCTATTCTGTATATCTCTTTCTCTTACTTGTAGATGCATAGTATCCATCCTATAGGACAGAAATATGCAGTTAAGCCACTTCTGCAAAATAAAATTGTAACCTTTATATTTCACTGATCTTAAGGCAGCATACATGACCATCCACCTCTCCTTACAACAACCCCATGAAGTACACTAGGCTGAGAGTGAATCTTTGACCAAGACAATTCAAGTACATTTACTTGTCCTGTGGGGACTGGAACATGATCTCCAAAATCCGTGTTGAATTCTTTAACCACACTACACTTTCAAGAGACCAGAAAGTAATAGCAGAAAAAAGACTATAACTTATTACTTAAATGTTCAGCAGCTATCAATAAAGGGTGTATGTCTTCTAACACATAGTTCAAGAGTACTAAGGAAGGTCACACAGAAGAATTTCCTGTTTTTCTGGATATCTCCCTTTTCTGTGCTTCAGCCAATCTAATGCTTTATGTATAAAGCCAGTTGACACAGGCATTTTTATTTCAATGTTAAAAGTTATTTCAAAATATTGCTAGCATTGTTCATTGTGCAGTTAGAAATACTCAGAATATTTGCCCGTGTAAAATAACAAGAGAGAACAAAAATAGCCCGTAATTAAAATGGATTTTTAAAATAAGTTGTAAACTGCTTATTTTAATTATAAAAGTAACATGTTATATGTTTTTAATATAAATAAGTATTCAGTGTGTGTAGACAGAAACGGCAATTAAAGTTGTATTCATTTTCACTCAGGCTTACAATGAAAGTCTTTGGCTGGGATCCCAAAACTATTTATCAGTACCCAAGAGAACTCTGAGTATAGTTCTTGAACAGCACCTCTTAATGACATAGGGTGTGTGGAGAAGAGCAGACCACAGACTACCTACTACAAAGCATCTGAGCCCTGCCACATGCACAATGGAGGATTTTCTTACAACAACACCAGAGACACTCCAAGTGGCCGGCCTCTGAACAAAGGAAATTTCGTATAATGCCAAGTTTTTAACTCTGTTAATTCTCAATTCACTTCTGACATGATAAAGAAAAAAATGCTATAGGGCAAACCCATTCTTGAAATTGATGAAGCAATTTGGGGTACAGCATCATAGTTTGCTGTGCAAAAGAAAACAAAACAAATCCTACACCCAAAATACGTATTTAGATCTCAACCACACTTAACAAGCATATATCCCCATCTATTCATTTCAATGAGAGGGGACCCTTCTAAACATTCAGATCAAGCATTTTAGGAGCATTCTGTGAAAAAGAAATGTCCCCCCTGCTCCTATTTTAATTGGGAACCACACTTTCTGCCATGTGAATGATCACTGTACTATTTTATTCCTCTGCATCTCTATCAACTGTAAAGAAATAACCAATACTTACTGTTATCTTTTAACAACTCAAATTAGTTCACAAACCAGGATTCTAAACCTGTCTTTGATCAGACTCTGTTTTTTAAAAAAATTCTGGTTTGTAAACAGTAATAAAGCCAATGTCTTCTGAAAACTGGCTTAACGAGATGAGCAATGAAACTAGGCATGCAAGAGAACAGAAAACAAAAACAAAACAAAAAACCAACCAAGGACATGAGTCTTTACTGAGGTGGAATCATGGTTTCTCCATCACTATCACAAAGAATCAAAAGTATCTTGTTCCCACTTTTAACAGCCACACATTTACATTCTCACCAATAAGGATGAAGCTTAGCTTCAACTATGGTTCATTCAAATATATCAGCTGGTCTGGAATTCTGATCTGTTAGTTTGGTTACAGTTACTATCGTCTTAATATTCATATAATTATTAATTAATATGTCATGTACACTGTCATTGGGAAGTGGAAGTTGAATGCCAATCAGAATATATTTAATAATTTGATTTTATGGTCAGGTTTAAATATTGCAGCCCAAGCAGAAAAATTAAGGATTATCTGCAGTTCAAAAGCAAGGAAGGGAGTGATTTATTTATTCTGAGAAATATGCTTAGGAAAGACATGAATGAACATGCACACACATCTCCAATTTGTGTAAGAGCATGCATGCACTCTATATAAACTCAAGAACTGTACTTGAGATATTTGTGAGATCAAATTACATTGTCCTATTGCAATTAAAACTGCACAAATAAAGTAAATTAATTTTATAATGAAGTACTCTATAAAGGTTATCAAATTATATTCAGTCCTGTATTTTCAGAAAATTTGACATTTAGTTCAGCTAGCTGTATTACATTATTGAATATTTTAACTTAAATCAAAATTGTAAACAGTATACTCACCATCAGGAGCATAACTGTACGTAACACTTTCTGAAAGAAATAGTAAAAAGATTGTGTCACCGTCTTTTGTTTGATATCGCTATAAACACTGCATCTTAAGATATAGCCTTAAACTCTGCCAAGATGGTATCATCAGTAACAAATCTCAACATAATAGTTTCAATTTTCAGATGTGGCAATGAAGATAAGGGTGGGAGAAGTATATAAGTGTTCAACACTCTTGAAATAGAATATTTCTCCCTAGAATGCTCCATCTGAACAAGTCCTCAGTCACTTCATTGCAACTAGATTTCCACAATTCAGTGCCTAAATCAAAAGAGGTGTTTTTATGCAAGGCACCTTCATCCTGCTCTAACATCTCCTACACCTGTATCCCTCCAGATGTTGCTAATGTCACCCTTCACAACTAGCAGTGCTGGCTGGGGCTGATGGAAATCCTTGGAAGATAGAAAGCTACATGATGCCTACTCCATTCCCCATTTGTTCCAAAGTGCTCCTCATAAAAAATGGAATTCTAGTGAGAGGAAGAAGTAGGAAAGCCCCATGGACTGGACTTGTGCATGACAGGCACAAACCCAGTCCAATACTTAGAAAGCTGAGAAACTCCACAGAAGACAGGGCCCAAGGTAACAAGCTGATCTATTCTGGCTCATCATGACAAAATTTTGAACAGGTTACAACTTAAATTTTCATAGGAAGAACCTTTACAGTAATTAGTAATATCACTATCATTTACATAGACACTTACGATTTATAAGCTTTAAATACACATGTGCTGTATCCATGCCCTGAGCCTGCTTGTGTATTATTTCTTATTTTTTTCTTATTTTTATCCTTCTGTTATTTATATTTGTTCCTGAAACTTAAATAAATACTTTTTTTTGAAAAAAAATGCTTAAAACAGATAATTCAAAACAACTAGTTGAACCTCATGTTAATGTGAAAAATCTCTTACTGCAATGTCTATGACCATACAATCAAACCTCTGCTTTAAAATATTTAATGAAAGAGAGTCCACCACATTTAAAAAAATATTTCCCCCTCTTCAGCAGATGATACTATCCAGAAGAACACATGCTCATTTGTCAGTAAGATTCATTTTAATTAGAGACACAATAACACTGTCTGAAAAGAAGTCTGAAGTCTAAAAGCCACCTTGGAAAACATTCCAGTCGTAGCCAGATTTAGAAAACATGATAATTCATCTGAAAATAAATGCTGGTCTTCTGCCTCTAGCTTCTGCTGACAATCTTGGAATTATGTTTCAATTCAAATGTTTCACTAGTGAAAATAGGGAATGTGACAGACATCGAAAGAAGCAACAGCAAAGAAAGAAGTTTTGTATTAAAGCTTGGCCCTAGGTTTTTATAGGCATTTCCAACTATTTGTTCCTATTAACTGTGACACATTAATATCTGCTGGCAATATGAAGAAGCCAAAAAAGGACATAGCCTCCAATTATATTAAACATTACACACTTGCATAAAGAGAGCAATATGCAGAATCTCAAGGTTTTGATTTGAGGCTACTACATTCAATATTTCAACTTGCCTATCCAATACAACAAAGAGTCAAGGTAAAATCCACTTCAGGTATATTCAAGAGAGAGAGAAAAAATCTATATAGGAACTAGTTTTGCCATATTAATTCCATATAGAACTGCATGCACATAATCAGACTATACTATAGAACAGGCAAATCAAAATTCAGTCAACAACCTAATATCTTGAAGGAACTTGCTTATATCCTTACAATGTTCACTGCCAATTTTAATGAAAGGTTAAAAGATGAACTTGGGCAACTCCCAAACTTTGTTGGATAGAAATTCCCAACAACACTAGCCAACTTTATTGATTGTGAAGAATTCTGCAAGAACATCTGGAGGACCACATGATTCCCATATTAATCTTTACTTCACAGAAATTTGCAGGGTAAAAAAGAAACTTCAAGGATACCTGTATCATATCTATTTACAGTAAAAGTGCTTCCCTTTTAATTACTCTGCAAGCTGGATGATTCAGAGATGAAGCCCTCAAAGGTAACTTTTAGAAGCTATTCACCAACATTTTTAAAGTAACAACACAACATGTCATGATACCAGCCAACCTGAATAATTCTACAAGAATGATCGCAGCATCGCTTAAGTCAATCAAGGAGCACTGAGCTAAAGAAAGCTCTCTCATACCCTTCATTATGAATAGTATGAATTTAGAGAAAGTCTTCCCCTCTGAAAAGGCAACGTGGCTGTCATTTCTTGTTAGAGGAAATGCCAAAATGTAATTCAGCAAAATCAGAACATGGTGATAATGAGTTTCAAGCAACAACTTTTTTGCAGTTAATTCCTTTTCCCACCAATGAAGGCAAGATTACATTTAACTGCAATCTAAAAGAGGGGCAACTTCATTTCTTTTTCAGTATAACTAATTTTAGGGGGGGGGTTGGAGGGGGGTTGTGACCTCAGTACATTTTGGAGGAGAAATTTCACATAGTTTAAGTTTCAGCTTGTGACTTTAATATATAAGAGGTTACTGTAATTTTGATAATCAGAAAAGTAAACAGTTGCTTTTCTAATGATAACTACAACAGAAAATCTATATCAAGAGAAAGGCACGATAAAAATAATAGACTGAACCCTAAACAAATAAAGTTATTTTCTACTGAGATTGACAGGCCTCTAATCTAAAGATATCACAAAAGACAATGACATAAACAACATGAATTTATATTACATTCTTAAATAGCATGCATACAAATTTGATCTAGGTTGGCCAAAATACTCATCTTTTCCCCCTACTTTTACATAAGCGAGTTAGTGTTTCTGGCTCACACATTTCAATTTTTGTGCCAGACTGAGCTGGCTAAAACTGAAATCCAAAAATTGTTTGGAAATCAAATAGTAGAATACTAACTTAAACACCTGTATTTATGGACAGGGCTGTAGATGGGGGTGGGTGGGGGATGGTAGGGTTCCAAAAATTTTCAGGTTAAAAATAAACCTGATTTACTCATGATTTTAACTGGTTAACCAAATCCCCATTCTAAGTCTATGATAAGCAAACATTAAATTGATTTAAGTCTACATAAGTTATAGAATGAACCAAACTATTTAAATTATTTTGTGTTATTGAACTACTCTTCATGATTCACACAAAAAAATCCTCCCCCCCCCCCAAAAAAAATTTTTTTTCTGGCTATGGCACTGTTTATGGATATTGAATGAAGTGGAATGTGAGCATGTTCCAATCAACAAAGCTTTCAGGAACAAAGCTTCTTTTTACGAAGTCTTTTTATATCTAGCCAGACCTTCCTTTTCCTTCTCATTCCCGATTCTAGCTTGCCTATCCAATACAACAATATTTTTAGCAATAGCAGCAATATCAGCAATAGGAAGACACTGAAAGAAAGCTGGAAAAACAGATTTTCAGTTTTAAGTTGGAGCAGTGTGTCTGCAGTAAACAATGTAACTAGACGGCAGCAAATAGAATTCTGCTCTAGTCAATCCTACAGTTGCCATGTGTACCTTGCTACAATATGTAAGGTAAACTGCAGCTGCCTCCAAAATTCATTCCTGTGTGTTCATGAACAAAACATAGAGAAGATAGAAAAGCAGATAAACCTGCCTTGACAACTACCCCGAGTATAATTCTATATTTCACCACCAAAACTGAAATCATAAATATGTTCTGGCTCGTGAAATATTTTTTTTATCCCTGGGTGGATTATGCAAGAATCTTTCAGTGGTCTCTTGTGCAAGGTTTACCAAGCCTGATTGCTTTACTCACATTAGCATGATGTTCGTTTTGAATGAAAAGTTTGCCAAAACACACTGAAATTTTCTTTTTTGGGGAGGTAAGGAAGGTAAGGAACTGAATTGTTATTTCTCCCTCTGGTACCATTTTTTCGGTTAACAAAGCAATGCTCAGGAAACAAAATTATTATTTCTAAAATGTATCCATGTCTAGAAAATGAGTTTCTGATCTAAAAGATTTTACTGTAGTATGTGTGTGTGTGTGTGTATGTGTGTGTGTGTGTGTGTGTGTGTGTATATATATATAATAAAACTGTTATCATGAATATCTTCATGTAAAATAATAGCAATACCATAATGACCACCCAAAATATACAAAATATATCAGGAAAGCTTAACTGCATTTCAGTACCTTTTTCTATTTTAAAATCACAACTTTTCTCTACAATTTTAATTGAAATTTAATTAAAATGTTTCAATTTGTGTTATCATCGAAGTTTAACTACATAAGTACTAGTTGCTTACCTGTAACTGTTTCTTCAAATGGTGATCTGTGAAATTTGCACATACGTGTTTGTCTGTTTCGATCTTTCTAGATCCCTAGAATAAAACATTTTGGTGGTAGCCCCACCCATTCTCCCAATATAGTATGAATGGTGCAAACCACGCTTGACATAGCCACCATGGAGTAACTAGGATACAGTCCGCCTGATCCGATATTATCATTGCCACAACCTTGGTTATCAAAGGTATCGAAGGAAAAGCATACACCAGGCCTGGGGCCCAGATGAAAAGGCGTCTTCCAAGCATCCTAGGGCTGGTCAGTGGCATCTGGCACAAAATAGATTGCATTGTGCATTCAGAGAAGATGCAAATAAATCTATGCTGGGTTGGCCCAGTGGCAAAAGAGAAGTTGTGTAGCTCACAAAGCTTTTTCTACCCCCAAAAGCTTAAAAAAATTGATGTGATGGTGGCGGTCTGTTGGTGACCACTGCCCCTGTACCATGAGGTCGTTTAGATGGGCTCCCCAGCCTTCAAGAGAGGCATCTGGCAATAGGAAGCGGAAAGATCATGTTTGTCTGAAAGGTACTCCTGATTTTACATTGGACCGTTTCGTCCACCATTTGAGGGAGTAGAGGCCTTCGAAGGGGCCATAGCTGAGTCCTTGGGCCATCGTGACAGGGGCTGAAGGAGCTGAGGGGGCAGCTCTGCAGGGGTTGAATTCTGAGGCATACAAACTTAGTCAGGAATATGAGGCCCTGCCCATGGCTACTTTTACTGT